ATGGATCTAAGGTCGACTGAGGATCAAGGTCAGCTGAGGATCACATTGTAAGAGGAGGGAGCGTCTTGTGTCATCAAAGTGGTTTGGAGGTTGATTCCCTTGGCATAGATTGGTAGAGCTATCTTCTCTATCGTGTATTTCTATTCTAAACTTAAGCCAACGAGTTGAGTACACTAACGAATGATGTTGACTCATCTATCCCTATGACTTTGAGTGCCTCAAGGAACATGATGTTCGTTGAGGAGTCAAGGTCTATGAGGATACTCTTGACGAGGATGTTGGCTATCTAGAGAGCATCATAGTAGGGGTTCTGGAGCTTCATTGCTTCGTTGTCAACGAACCCAATGGCTAGGTTGGTTGTCTTCTACGAGGGTGGCTTGGAGGATTTAACCTCAGGGTTAGCTACAGCTTTGGCGTGACGTTTGGCCGAGAAGTAGCTTACACTGCTTACTTTTGATCTACTTGAGATCACATTGTACAACTCATCCATAGGCGATGCTTTTGGTGGAGGTGTAATCTGGCGATCCTTGTTTGCCAGGGTGTTTTTTTGTTTGTCTGTTAGGAAGTCGTGGATGTTGCCCCTCTTTAGTAGCTCTACTATTTCAAGACGGATGGCGATGCCATCAACGGTGACATGGTCGTGGTCCCCATGGTATCACACCACTTGGTGATATCTCGCTTGGCCTTGTTTTATGGTAATTTTGGAGGCCATCTATCAACTTTCCCCATCTCTTTCATCATAGCCATTACTTCTATAGGTTTGATGTTTAGGTTGTAGTCGGGCACCCTATATTAGTGGGGCGGGACTTGTGTCCTTTCATTATGCAAGCTAGGTGGCAATCTATTGGGTGTCAATTGTCTTAGTTAGTGACTCTCCTTGGTTGGTGGAACGGCTCAGCGAGGCAATTATCTTGGCATCATTCGACCCTTCTAGAATGACAATCTTCATAGTTAGAGTGTTTGATGTGGTTCACTTAATCCTCTTCCACCTTATTCTGCTAGAGCTCGAGTTAATACATTTTCCATGGTGAAGCAGTTGAACTTAGTGAGCTCTTTGTATAACTCACTGTAGAGGAGAAGCTCCTTCCTGTAGGCGTCAACAACTGTCTTTTGATTACAATATGAAATAAAGATTTTTTTCTTTGTTGAAGTGGCCCATGTAGTCTTGCAATGTTCTCTGTGGTGTTGATGTACTCTATAAAGGTCATTAGAGATTTTCTCAAGTCTCTTGCTACTGACAAACTGCTTAACAAAGTTATCTGTGAGTTGAGCAAATGAGTCAATAGAGTTGTTGGATAAGTTGATATGCCATTGGAAGGTTGGTCCCATGAGGCTAGAGCCGAAGCTCTTGCATATGCATGCTTTGTGGAGATCGTGCAGGATGGTGACAACTAACACTATTTGTTTATAGGATACTATGTGCTCATCAGGGTCAGTGGTCCCATCATAGAGTTTCATATTGTGGAATGTGAACTTGCGAGACAACTCTATGAGGGTTATGGCATCCACGAAGGGTGAGTCGGCGTAGCTTTGGGGTTGGCTTTTATTGAGAGGTGTAGGCATGCCAAGAATGCATTGGATCATGGCTTCCATCTCAGATAATCGTTTAGCCAAGGATTGCTCAAGGGGTGTTGCCACAAGAGTGTATAGGTTGTTTAGAAAGTAGGGGAATACATTGGGGTTAATATGTATGGTCGAGCCAAGCGGCATTGTTTGGTGGGTGGCTTCTGCAACTGAATGCGTGGGATGTGTTTGTAGTAGGGTGAAGGGAGTGTTTAGTTGTTGGGTTGGGGTGTCATCTCCTCGGGTCGACTTGGGGTAAGGTTGCTGTTGGAGTCGAGTGGAGGTGGGTTTGATTTGTCAGGGTATCATGATTTGGGGTGGTGAATAATTGCCTTGGGTGAACAGGGAGTCGAGAAGAGGAGGTGTGGGGTTGACCTCAATTCTAATCTAACAAATAGAATTGGCTTACTTTGTCTTGGAGGGCTTGATTCTTTGCCCGGATGGTGGCATTTTGAGCTTCCAGAGTTTGGTACTTGTGGTTTTCTCTAGCACTAGTGTGGTGAGGGCCATAATCTGAGCCACAATGTCAGGAGTGGGGGTTTTGATGTTTCCAGTCATGATGGTTGAATCAAGAGAGAAGAGTAGAAATAGTAGGTCATTTAAGTCGGATAGTTGTCAAGACCCCATGGTGGATGCCAAATTGTAGACAGTAAAATCTATAGTCAATTTGGAAGAGACATATCCTATGAAAGTAAAGCCACTAACAACCTGATGGACTTGCACATAGAAGAAAAGAGAACGTGAGGGCTAGATAAACATCGGCGTGGTGTCTGTCATAGATATTCTGATGCTTAAGTCAGCGAGGCTGAGGGTATTTAGTGAGGATTGAGGACGAGAAGGATTATTGGCATAATGCAGTGGTTTTTGGGAGCAAAAACTTTAAAAGTTATGTGCTACAAGCGATTTCTAAATGAAAATTGAGAGGGTTTGCGCCTGTTTATATAGTGAACCCAAAGGGTTGGAGTCGTACTTATTAAAGGAGTTCCAATAAGGAATCAAAATCCTATTTTGTTTCCACTTCTGTCAAGATCTTGAATCTTACTCAAATTGTTAAGCTTAATCTAATAAAGGCAAGAGCTAATGGGCCTGCACATAGAAGAAAAGAGAACGTGAAGGCTAGATAAACATGGGCGTGGTGTCGGCCATAGATAGTCTGATGCTTAAGTCAGTGAGGTTGAGGGTATTTAGAGAGGGTTGAGGACAAGAAGGATTATTAGCATAATGTAGTGGTTCTTGGGAGCAAGAACTTTAAAAATTATATGCTACAAGCGATTTCTAAATGAATATTGAGAGGGTTTGCGCCTGTTTATATAGTGAACCCAAGGGGTTGGAGTCCTACTTATTAAAGGAGTTCCAATTAGGAAGAATATATGATCTCTTGCCTTTATTAGATTAAGCTTAACAATTTGAGTAAGATTCAAGATCTTGACAGAAGTGGAAACAAAATAGGATTCTGATTCCTATTTATGAACTGCTATGGGCTCATCGACTGAACCCAGTTTAGCTTAACTTGTAAAGTAGCCCAACTCGTAGAGTGGGCAGTTCACAAGATGGATTTAAGCATAGGCTCAACCGAAATTGGGCTAAGGTCTTGGGTTGTAATCTATTTATCTCGTCTATTAGGCCTCATCAAGCCCAATGGAACGACCTTGTTCATGTGTCCGTTCTATCTTCTGGAAAATTTTAGGCAATCTGGAACGTCTATTCTACATTGAAGAATCGGTTGTTTCTCTGAGCTATTGAGTAGTATGCATGTATTTTTTTTTTTTTTAACCTTTTGGCACTAATATGTAATGCATACTTAATACCTTTTTATGTTATGTGCATATAAGAATTTAGCCATTATACGGTGGTTACATAATGAATTTATATCATAATTCAAGAAATATAACATGATCAAAGGGTTTCAACAACATCGGGTGTTCTTCATCTGCCATCTTGACTTGTTTCCATCTGGTCACCATGATACAATGATGCATAGGTTGTATGCAATAGTTTGTCCATGTCTGGATGAAAAACACAAGTGTAATTCAAGATATATATCGATTATATTTAAGATTTTTTTTTTTAAATTTTAATTTACTGAGGAAGGAATAAGCATAGAAGTGCCACACAGCTATCATATATATATATATATATATATACACATATGTATGTATTAACATAACATAATATCATTTCATTAAAAAAAAAAATTTAATATAACATATTTTCTATCCAATCTTATCAGTATTTAATAAATTTTGTTAATCTTATATTAATTTGAATAATTGAAAACTAATCAATGAAGCAAACTAAACAAATTAATTAGAAGAAGGAAGAGGAACTTTATGTGTAGTATGAAGATGGAGAGACACAATAAATGGTATCACATAAGTCCATTATCTAATTTTAGACAATAAATTTTTCTAAATTCTAATATCTAATTTTACTACATATCTAACAAGTCCTACTACATATTATAATTGATCATGGATTATATCTAATAAGTCTTACTACATATTATAATTAATTTGTGACATTTCATTTAAATAATATTTGTAATTAATTTGTCCAATAATTTTGCTTGAAATTCTCCTATTCAATTTCTTTTCTTAAAAAAAAAAAAATCACATTTGTCAAGAAATTATCACTTTAAAATTATTATTTTCACACTATCAATTGATCAAATGTGATTATAATTGTGGGAACATTGAGTGAAATAATATACAAATGAGTAATAATAGATGTTTTTGTATTCAAATAAAAGCTAAGTATTCAAATAAAACCCATTGTACTTCTACAAATTAGATACAAATGTTTATGTACTTTAAAAAAAAATAAAAAATAAAAAGCCCAAGGCTCTAAAGCCTATGAAAATCTTAACCTAGCCCACAGTCAATAATCCTAAAGCCTTTCAAAGTCCTAACCCAGCCCATAGTCAAGAATCCTATAGCTCATCATAACCGTTGACCCCACAAAGACCCTGTTGACCGAGGCAGGCCGGGGTCAACCCAATCTCCCGGGCAAGGCTCGGAATCCCCTTTCATCTCCGATACACCCACATACACAAGCACCAAGTGAGAACCTTGCCGAATGATGATCCATTAAAGAAATGTAGGAATTAACCAACATTTTCCCAAATAAATTGTGTCCTCAACATTTAAGTCTATATAAATGAAATGGGTTTCGTTTAGCAAGTGTTGTTTTCTCCCTCTTAAAGAAAAACTAAATTAGTTAATACGTCTCTCTCTCTCTTTTAACCAGGTTATTCGGGTCAATTTATACGCGTTTCAATTAATCTTTAGAGTTCATTAAACACTTTACAAGTCCAACGTTTGTCTCTCCCTTTCCTTTTGCTATGGTAATTACTTGGTACGTGCTTCCTTTAAAGAAAACCCCATAAATTTCAATCCTATGATCTTTTTGACATATTATACATGTAACTTTTAGCCAAACCAAACTCACATTACTTAAATTACACAGGGAAGCAATTTCTTATTTTTCAACCTCTCTCACATGACGCAAAACAACGAAACTCAAACAACACTGCAGATTAGATACTAATTATACGAATCAAGTCTTAGACTCCACAGTAAGTCTTAAGAGCAGACTGAGCTCTCTGGCCAGCTTCAGTGTAGTAGAATCCAAGAAACTCAACATGATCAAACGGCTTAAAAAGCAAGGGGTGTTCTTCATCAACTAGCTCTTCGGGGGCTTTTATTAAATAACCTGCTTTCGGGATTGAAAACAACCCTGCAGAATACCTTGCCTCATTTCCCGTCATCATCACACGGTGATATGGAGAGTACAACCGCCCGTTTGTCCATGCCTGAAAAAGAATAAAAGTTTCCAGAAATTCTTCAAAAATGTCAGAGACTTGTATATTAATTTAAGAATAAATGAGAAGCAGCTAGCTTACGTAGAGAGAATCTCCGATCATCGCAATGAAAGAGTCCGGCGACGGTTTCAATTGGATCCATTCACCATTTTTAGTCTGTACCTCTAAACCATCAACTTGATTCTGATACAATATCGTCACTATGTTTTTATCCGTGTGAGCATTCAGCCCAAGCTTTGTCTCAGGAGTTTGAGGTCCTTTATATTTCATGACTCGAAGAAGGTAATTCGTTGAGTTCATGTGTTCATCCATGTCCTTCTCCAGATTGAAACTCTCCAAAATCATCCTCCTAATTGTTTGATCTAATTCCGATACTTGCTCCGAAAATGACAATATCGTTTTGCTGCAATTGATTGAAGTAGATAAATTAAGTAAGAGATCAAAATAATATGATAAATTAGTAACATGTTGAATATTTTTTTACCTGAAACTTTCGTTTCCTTCGGGCCACAAAATATTTGTCATGCTTTCGACTTTCTCGATGATGTTTGCATCATCAATGCCCATGCTTTCATAGAGAGGAACTTGAGGGTATTGTCCAACGTAACCATGAAAGGGCTTTTTTGAAAGGTTCCGAAGTTTGGTTTGTAATGGCAGGTCAAAAAGCGCTTCCAGTGCCCCAAAAAGGCTTTTCCGAAGCTCTACAGGAACTTTGTCAAACAAAGCCTCGAAACAACCGAATTCTTCCAGGGCTTTTCTGACTTGGGATTTCACTGAATCCCACTCAGGAGAGCCTGGTTTCAGGTTTGGCTTGGAAAAGTCTATGACCGGAAGTCGAAAAGGGGTTTCAGAGCCCATTTCTACTTTCTTTGTTTGGAGAATAATAAGTTGTTTGTGTATTAATTGCTTCATCATTCAAGTACTTGAGCCCCTTTTATAGAGTTTCGATGGAATTTTTTATATGTAATGCGACAAATAAATGATCACAGTTGGTTCAATTTTTTAATCTATCAGGATTGAGTGGTCCCTATAACAATGAAGTTTCACTAATCGACTATATCAAAATTCGTAAGACATCAAGAATTCCAGGGCCAAAAAGATGCTTTTCATTAGAAATCAAAAGCATTTATTTTGTTTTATTCAGTCTGAATGTTTATAATAATATTAGACATCATTATGCTATGTATCATTGATTTGATAAATACGAACTCAATTTTAATGTCTTTTACGGATCAATTCTCAAGCTATATCGTAATTGTTATACTTGAGAATGTAAGACTGATGCCGAGCTTTGTTAGCATGGGAGGTCAGAGTTTAGGTAGGTCCCGCAGCCATTCAGACACAATCATGTCACATGTTGACACAAGCGGCATGCTCTTGCCAGTGCAGTGGTTGAACGAAATAGAGAAGCAACAGGAACAAAATAATAATAGTTAAACAAAACAAACAGTAAACAAAGAAAGTAATACGCGCGATTTACCCTGGTTCACCAAATGTAGGCTACGTCCAACTGAGTCAATATTATTGCAATATAACTCACATCTCTCGTTTACAATGAATGAATTGTTCTCACACCCATAACAAGAGAAAAGTATGTTTATATACTAGGTTTAAGGGATTAAACCTAGTTTTGCAAGAATTCCTATTCCTAAGCCCAACCCAAAAAGGAATTAATAACTTAAAAAGAATCCTACAGCGGTTATACATGGAAAAGCCCAAAACCGCCAGCGGGACCCCCGAGTGCGTCTCCGTTACCCATTAATGCTGAAGTAGTCGACAACTCCAATAGTGGTTGTGCACCAGACTAGTAAAAGGCTGGAGACATTCCACATGTCCAATCTCTGTACAAGTCGAGGAAATCACTCGAGCAGGTGAGCAACGGGACATAAGGAAGGGTTTGCACAGCAATCGGACCCATTCACAGATTCAGTAATCATTACCTCAATTCATCCCACTATAAATAGAGGGTTCCTCTCCTGTTTGTGGGATTAGCTAATTTCACTCTAGAATAACATATTCTCTCTCTCTTGTATTCTCAAGGCTATAAATCAACTCGCTGAACACGACCTGATCTTATGTATTAATACAATATCAGTGGACGTAGGATTCGCTTGTTTAAACATCCAAACCACTTTAAACATTATTCTTCATCTCTTACTCAACTCAATATCCCCTTATACATGTGTGTCTTCTGAGTCTACTCAGCATTTCTCACGTGCGGTTCGTTGGTGTCAAAATCAAGTATCAACAGTTATATTCTCAGGGACCATTTATTGAACAGATCATTTATATTAATTAGTTAGTACAAAATTTAAAAAATAATGTAACTTTACATCAACATTGGATTAAAAAAAGAAGAAAAATAATAAAAGAAAATATTGTCCTGACGACATTATATATATTGGACCACTTAATCAGATTCCTTAATATCCCTATCTAACAACACGATCAACGGCATCAAATGACAATATTCTAAATCACATAAAAAAAGAATTTGGATACCTCTCTCTCATGACATGATTCTCAAAAATAAAGATCCAATTAATTTTGCACTTTATTATAAACCGTAAATAATCAAGGCCTGTTAAACTTTACTCGGTTTTATTTGGGGAAAATCATATTCAGCCTCTACTTAATTTCCATCTCTTTAAACCCATATAAATCAATTAAAAAAAAAAAATAGAATTAAAGAACATTCAGGGTGGGACAAATATACAGACAGTATTATTCGTTCTTATATTTACAGGGACCATGCCAGATCCTTTTCGTTACATTGATAAACAAATGCAACCTGACATCAATATTGGAACAAAATAAGAAGAAAAATCTTGTCTAAGTGATTGATAATCAACCTAATTATATGTCTTGAATAAGCAATATGGACCTTATGGTGGACCACTTTGTCAGATTAATCGTTATCGCTACCTAGAAACATAATTTTAAATTAGAATGAACAACTTTTTCGCACCCAAGGTTATCCTTAATGACACTTTCCCACAAAAAAAAGTTTCAAAATATCACTTTCCTACCCAAAGTTAATATTTCGCTACTATTAAAAATTCTCCTCATCACCACCATTCGAACCTTCCGTCTCCTCTCTACAAAACCCCTTATGCTCTGACACCTGATTTCTTGCCGATTGCCGACCATCACAAAGCTAGAGTTTTTCCTTCTTAGATGATTTCTGACTGATTCTAGCTGCGAATATTCAATTTATCACCGCCATTTGATTCACTGGCCTCCATTCTACAAAAACATTCTTATCATGGCCTTTGGTAACTCACTGAATGCCAGTTGAGAAAGTGAAGTGTATTTTTGGTATTAACAAAATATAAACGTTGGGTGGGTAAAAGGTTTTTTGAAACTTTTTGGGTGGGAAATTGTCATTAAGGCAAACCTTGGGTGGGAAAAAGTTGTTTACTCTTTTAAATTACACCAAACCATTGGTCATGTATAATTGGATACAAGTTGATGATTTTTTTTTTTTTAATTTTTTAGAATCGGGGTGTCTGGATCAACTTGTGTGCAGCTTAGATAATCTCCAATGCCCATTGAACACTCTACAAGTTCAATTGTTCCAGGTAAGCCACATATATAGTAAGTGGCCCCAAGATAGTTTGAACTCAATAAAAGGAAAAAATCTTCTTGACCACTAGACTAATCCCTTGGGGTTAGTTGATAATGTTATTGGACCAGTAAAGAGTAATAGTTCTTAGATTAAGAAAAAATATTATTTTACAGCCCAGTCTATTCAGCTAAATTATGAAGCCGATGAAACTGTTACTATTTACTAAACGTCAATATATAGCAGATAGTTATAGCTTCAAAAGGTTTGCATGAATTAATAGATTTAAGTGTTTGGATAAATAGAAAACAAGAGAAAAAGAAAATTGCACATATGAGAACTCAGAGAGAATTCTATACTTGTGTATTAATGAGAATTGGAATTCATAATACAATGTATTTTACCCTTTTATAATCTCATAAGATCTTGGAATGAAATATTTAGAAAGTGAGTAAACGACATGTTCTCACCTGAGGTTCAACAAAAAGACAAAGTTGGTACCCCTAGTTTCAATTACTCTATTCTCACCCTTAAAATAACTCCGTTACTTTTCTTTAATAGCTAAGGCTAAAATGGTAATTTCATATATTTAATATTTTCATTTTCTGCAAAAAACATCTCTCACTCGACCACCATCACCACCACCACCATCCAGCCACCACCTTTCAATACCATCATGACCGAAACCCCCAAGTCACCACCATCACCACCCACTGCCATTCCACCTATCCACCACCCTTGCAATCCCTCTAAACCCCAAAGTCATCCTCGCCGCCACCAAACAACCACCACTAAATCACTAAAAAATTCAGCAACAAACCACCACAAACTCAACATGCAACACAACCAAAATTAGCACACAACCACAAGCAATAGGCTAACCTAGGTATAGGCATCGGTTGGCAAGCGCAAGAGGCAGCGTTGATTTGCAGTGCAATTGGAAGTGGGAGATGGGTTGAGGCAAAGAGAGAAAAGGGCATTCAAGAAAGAGATTTTGGTGAGAGTGAGGGAAGCATTAGTTTCTGATCTAGAAGTAGCCACCATTGTTGTAGAAGTTTCTAGCGCCCACGCCAGTGAAGAGATGAAAGAAGAAGAAGAAGAATAAGGGACGACAGTTTGGTAATTGCAGTCTTTACACTTGTGTCAGTAAAGGTGGAAAAGCGACCCGACCCGACCCGACCCGACCCGACCCGACCCGACCCGACCCGACCCGACCCGACCCGGGTTGCTACAAAATGGCGGGTCGGTCTTGACCTGCCCGGCGACATTGGCGGGCTGGGTTAGGCCTGCCAATGTCGAAGAATTGGCTGGCCCAACCCGGACCGCCAACCCTAACCCATTGGGTTGGGCTGGGTTAACCCGCTTTTTTTTTTTTTGTTTTATTTTATTTAAGTTTAAATGTTTAATTAAATTTTCAAATGAATAATTAACCATTTATAAATGTAATTGTTTTTAGTTAATATTTAATTTCTTTTCAAATATCAATAATTAAATTAAATTAATTTTTTTTGTTAACATTCCAAATATTAATTCAATTTTAATACATTAAAATTGTAATATAAGAATAATTAAATTTATTCATTTATTAAAAAATAAAATAAGAAATTACAATAATTATTGCCTCGTCATCATTGTAATTGATGAGAGAGAAATATCTATCCATTGTAGTTGAAAAAAAAAATTGATGTAGAAGAAATAAAAATTAAAGAAAGAGAATTGGAGTATGGAAATTGGAATTTGGAAAANAATGCATCCATTTGCCAGTTGTGTGGCGAGATTTGCAGTGCAATTGGAAGTGGGAGATGGGTTGAGGCAAAGAGAGAAAAGGGCATTCAAGCAAGAGATTTTGGTGAGAGTGAGGGAAGCATTAGTTTCTGATCTAGAAGTAGCCACCATTGTTGTAGAAGTTTCTAGCGCCCACGCCAGTGAAGAGATGAAAGAAGAAGAAGAAGAAGAAGAAGAAGAAGAAGGGAGGGCAGTTTGGTAATTGCAGTCTCTACACCTGTGTCAGAATTCAACAGTAGCTAGCAATGTTATTTTAGGGGTGGGAATCTGTAATAAATTAAACCAAGGGTACCAACTTGTCATTTCGCTGAACCTGGGGTGGGAGCATGTCGTTTACTCTTAGGAAGTTAATTACAAATTTTTAGTTCTAAGGTCACATCCTGCTCTCAATCTTTCTTTTTATTTTCCAATACAGTTTCTTTGAGAGTTATCTTATGGGATTTTTTAATATTATCATTAAGTGGATCTATTGGTATCCCGTTAATGAATTAAAAAACCCCATTTTTTAAATAAATTTAATAATAACAAGTTTGTCCTTATATTAAATTATTAAAATTATCTTTAATTTCCTATTTTTTATAAATACTTTTGAGATCTCACTATTATCTCATAAATCTTTTTTTTTTTTTTTTTTTTACTAGTCACATTTTTTCAAAATCTTAAGTTTTTAGTTGCTTCACATATAAAATTTTATTGTTATTTTTTCTTCAAAGTATTGATAACTATTTTAATTTATATTTTTTTTATTGTTTAACCGAATTATGTTATTTGGATTATTTTGTAAAGATGCTTTTAGTTTTAATTTTTTCTGAACTTTCAATCTAGTTATCTAAAATTTTATTTTATTAGAAATAATGATAGTGGAGGGTATATAACATAGAATTTATGGGATGACATAAAAAAAAAAAAAAAATTAAAACTTTGAAATAGAGTTTTTTAGGAAATAAAATTTCTTTAATCCATTAATGGGGTATCAATAATTTCCCTTCAAACTTTCTTTTGTTTAGTTTACCCCAATCGAATTATTCTACAATTGGGCCAAACCCAGTTTACAGCCCAATCTATATTTTTAAATCCTGCTCCTACAAACACAATTTTTTTTTTTTTTTTTTTTTTTAACAAACACTAATGCAAATAAAATTGGAAGTTAGGTTATTTACTTTCTTTGAAGGAAAAAGGATAATGCTACACTGTTAAAATTCTAGCTTATATATTTGTTGATAAGATGATGCAAAGCATTCATGTGCTACTTTTCTATAATCACCAGTGGTTTTAATTGAGATTTAAAATTGAGATCTCAATTTTATACAATATTATAACATTATGTGATGAGTGTGTTAAGCAGGGAAGAGAACATCAATCCTTGTCTTATATAGATTTATTACCCTCATCAGTTTTTTAATATCTTTGTAGATCTTCAGTCCATTGATCTTTATAGATCGTTATAAGAAAAAATATTTAATATATAATATAAAGTAAATAACTTTTTCCCACCCAAATAATAGTCTAATAACACTTTCCTATTAACTGATTTTTAAAATATCACTATATTATCAAAAGTACAATTTTGTTAATAAATTTCTTTGTGAAGAATAGGAAGATGGTCCAAAGTCTGATATATGTAAGGGTAGGATGGTGAATTAACAAACCCGCGTTACCCCCACCCGTTTGCACCAGCAATCATCGGCCGCTCTCACCCAGACACCTAATTTCTTGTCGGTAAGCAGAGGCAATCGCAAAAATGGTCGCTGGCATCATCTTCCCCTCACCCCCTTTTCATAACCGACCTTACCCCAATCATTTTCACCCTCTAATCGCCGAAAAACGTCCATTTTTTTTTTCCCGCAAACAACCATCTTTTAGGCTTGTTTGCAGTCAATTGGCACACCAAAATTTACCCTTCCACCACCACTGGAACCCCCTTCACCCACTCTTCAAAACCCACCATCCAATTGGCTTTCTCCACTCCCCTTTTGTCGTCCACCAATCATTTTTTGGGCATCCACTATCCGCTCGTAAAAATTCCCTAACCTATCTACTCGTAAACCACCCCCCATTGCTTCCCATCCCTTCCAACGGTCACAACCACCACTCCAGCAGCCTTCACACCATCCCTACCCACTTTTCCAACCCTTAATTGACCCAAAACAACACCCAAACACCTGCCTGCCAACTGTGTAATAAAATGCCTCAACCAACCAAAACACACTCCATTAGGTGGGCTTGAACAGGAAACTCTAGTTCTTTGTGGCGACCAATGGGAAATCAAGGTCAAGGGGTCAAGGGCTTTGGAGGGGCGACGCTAGCGGTCCGAAAGGTGGTGGCTGGGGAAGTTTTTGGTGAGGCAATCGACGGGAATTATGTTGGGAAGAGGTGGCGTTTGCGCAAAAACCTGATAGGTAGGTAGCAACCATCGATAGTTAATTGGGTTGGGAGATGTTGGGGTTTTTGTTAAGGTGACGCCGGTGAGTCAAATGGTGTGGTTAGAGAGGGTTGTCGTTGCCAGATTCGATCGGAATAGCTAGAAAATGCGCCGACCAAAGGAAATGTAGTGGCCGGCGATTGGCAGAGTAGTTGGATGTGGGGTGAAGAGGGTTTAATTGTGTTGGTAAACGATAGTGATACAGTCGGGTTGGGGTCGACATGTGACACCAGAATCAGGCCGTTTGCCGGCGCCGACCAACAGCCATGATGGAGGGTAAGAAGAGAAGAGAAGAGAGGAGAAGAAGAAGAGTAAACAATATTTTCCTTTTAAGATGAGTATTATTGTATTTAACTGAAATTATTAACATAATATAGTAGTAAAATAGTATTTTAAAAGTTTATAGGTGGGAAATTGTTATTAGACCATTGTTGGGTGAGAAAAAATCGTATGCTCTCTTCTCTTATATATGAAATCAAAATTACGGAAAGGCCAAGTGCGTCACATTGATCATAATAGAGTTATGGATTCCATTACTGTTAAAAGAAGAAAATACGGCATCAACATCGGAAGAGATTTAGATAACAATTAAAATTAAGGAAAATACATAAATAATTAACATAGTAAATAAATTAACAGACATTTAAAACACCACAATAGGCTTTTACAGTGCACTCAGCCGTGGAACCTTCAGCTGTAACGAAGAAACGAAGCAATCCGAAGTGATCAAATGGCTTAAATTGTAAGGGATGTTGGTCATCAGCTAGCTCTTCAGGAATATTAATTATTCCCTCGTTGTATGTAAATAACCCAACTGAATATCTTGGCTTCTTGCCATTCATCACCACTCTATGTACTGCAGAATGAATCCTTCCATTGCTCCATGCCTTCCATTCAGAAAAAAAAAAAAAAGGCATCTATTAAGACTCTGAAACTTTAATCATGAAAATAAATAAATAAAGACTACTTACTAAGAGTGCATCGCCAGCCATGACTATGAAGGATGAAGGTGTGGGATCAAAATCAATCCAATCACCATCCTGTGTTTTTATCTCTAAACCGTTTACTTCATTCTGGTGAAGTATGGTGATAAAGCTCTTGTCTGTATGAACATCGCAACCGAGATTCGGTTCATTCGTCTCAGGTAATCTATATTTCATCAGTCTAAGAAGATAAGTGCTCGATTCATTGAAAGAATCGTAGTACTTCTCCACACCATAGCTCTCAAACACCATTCTCTTCACTATTTGCTCCAATTCCGATACCAGTTTCGAGTAGGAGAGAATAGGTTCACTACAAATTAACATATAAAACATAATCAAGTCAGATATCCGCTGTTTATTACATAAAATGTGATCATGAAAAGATTAGAATTCTACCAGAATTTGTCATTTCCTTGAGGCCACATGAGATTGGTGAAACTTTGAGTTCCTTCCAGGGTGTTTGCATAGTCGATGCCCAGACCTTCATAGAGAGAAGGGACAAAGGGTTGGTCTCCAACATAGGCAAAATATGGTTTTTCAGAAGTGTTTTTTCTTTTGATTTCTTTCGGCAAATCAAACAACTCTTCTGCTGCAGAAAATACTGCATTGTGAAGTTGTAAAGAAACTTTATCATACTCTGCAACAAAGCAGCCATACTGCTCAAGCGCTTGCCTGATATTGCTGCATGCGGATAACCAAGCACTCGTTCCAGGCTTCAAATTTTCCCTGGAGAAGTTCACAACAGGAAGCCTGGAAACTGAAAAAGACGCCATATTTTCAACGATTCAGTTAACCGATGAGGGTTACATTACAATTGCTGATGTATTTATAATATAATTAAGGTTCCACTCATGCATGCACTTTCGTCACACGATATGTTGCAAAATATAAGACGGTATGCATCGATTAATTCAAAGTTCTTGGCACTGCATGTCTTAAGAAAATTGGTTGCTTCTGAGATCGAATATCCCAGATAGTGAGATAATGATTCGTAATTGCTACAATTTTAGATGATTTACAAATGGCAGTTTATTGACAGGGGATTACGTAAAGGTAAGTTAACCAATCAATTCAAGTTATGTTGAAGAAATTTTATATAATTTTAAGGATGAATAGATTCTGCAGCAAAATCTGATGTTATTTGGATTTTAGGTCAAGGATATCAATCTATGCAGTGGCCGAGGGTTTTATTTTATTGGTCAATTGATGAACTCTAAGAAGCTAAAATGACACCGATTGAGACTGATCAACGCTTGAATTAAATATTAAATAGAACTCGACACACCTGGAATAAAAAAAGAGTGAAGAGGCAGTACTAGCTGAAAGAAACTAAAGCTTTTTTAATTGCCATATTTTGCATTGACAAGAGGGCATTGCCAACCATTAGCTGTGTGAAGGTGCTGCCAAAAATGTCACTGTTATTAATTTAAAGTTTATTATATATTCTTAAATGCTTATTTGAATATTACAAAGTTTTGGATGGGGCAGAAGTGTATCGATTTATTCAAAGTTAATTTAATAATTTCTTAAATGGTTATATATGATATGAATTCATTGGATGAATATAGGTAGACGCAATATAGAGTTAATGACTTTTTTCCAACCAAATAATGGTTTAATGACACTTTTCTACTTATAAACTTTTAAAATATTACTTTATTATCTAAATTTATATTATGACGACGAGCAGAGAGCAAAACTAGTCTAGGCTATTAGAACTTTTGAAGAGAAGAGGCTGGTGAGTCTTGTGGTGGTGGAAAATTGAATTTTAGTGATTGGGATTGATCGGAATTTGACTTGGGAGGGACAGCTACGTAAACACTAATAGCTCGATTGCCAGCGATTAGTGGGATTGGTAGGAGTTGGTTTGAAGGGTTTTAGTAAGTGATGATTGGAGAAAAAAATGGTGATGGTGTAGGATCGCAACGATGCCGGAATCGAAAAAAAATAAAAATTTAGGTAGTAAAATGGTATTTTAAAAATCTACGGTGGGGGAAAGTCATTAAGCAATTATTTGGGTGGGAAAGAGCCGTTGACTCTGCAATATGTATGTATCAATCTTATTTTGGACCTTTTCAAGATAAAATTTGATTAAAGTAGTTATTTATAGTCCCCAACTTTAAAGTCTAGAATGTGATGAAATCTGAAATTTAATTCTTGTAGCAAAGGAGAAACATTAGTTAAATTTGATAATTATTACGAGTTTCAATTTAATCGTACGATTATGAAATTGTGAATTCTAGTTAACTTAAATTTATTTTAATTTAAGTAATGTTACACTTACAAAGAAATTTTACAAAAATCTCCATATAAAGTGATGTGATAAAAAATGAATGAAAGATCTTCCATTCATTTTTTGTCACCTCACTTTGTATGTAAATCTTTGTAAGATTTATTTGTAAATATAATATTATTGTTTTAATTTATTGATGCCTCCAAATATAAAGCTTTGAAATAAAACTGCAGAGGAAAAAGATTATAAAATCTTTTATTATAATTAAATCCTCACTTAAAATAGAATGAAATATAATGGAGTCTAAAAATCATTTCTCATTTGATTGTAATAGTAAAATATGGTTGGGCTGACACGCCAATGGGCTTTTTAATTGGCTATTTCTAAATCTTATCAAAACATCTTCAGAATTAATCTTGTGGAATAGATTTTTCATACTTCACACACACACACACACACACACACACATATATATATATATATATAATTCTTTAGTCAGGATAATGTTGGATTCACTCACTAGAATGAAATAATATTTTATATATAAAAATCTAAAAGTGAATATATACGATGCATGTATAATTATATTACAACGGTCATATATATA